ATATAAACCCTACAACCTCATTTATTAAATTAGTGGTGACTCGGCTATCTTACAGGATTAAGTTTTCTGAAACTCTACATTCAAAGCAAGAAGTAATATCTCATGGCTGATCTTTGGAATATGGTAACTGGTAGTTTGGCGACATTTTGGAGGCAATAAAGGTTACTACCTAAGACTTTGGTAATAATGTGAGAAGCACTCAGTTCCGATTACGCATTATTTTGTGTGAGGGAAATGAGAGATCATGAGATATGTCATGTGACATTAATGGACGAATTACAGTTGTTTAATCGGAAAGGGGGGAAATCTGGAAATTTCGTATTTAGCTATTTCTGGTTTGTGAAAACGTGACATTAATGGACGAATTATGTTCTTTAATCAGAAAAGGGGGTTAATTTGGAAAAGCTTTATTGTGTGTTGTGTGAAATAGTGTTGATTAATTTTCAGATTGCATGGCACTATGTAAGTTAATTCTAAATTTTTAATGCATTTATCTGATAAATAATAATAGTTGAGATTGTGTGAAGGAAGGATATACAAGTTTAAATGGCGGTTCAAGAAATATGGTGGAAAATGCACATTTTGTGAAAAGGAGTGTAAGGAAGGGTACATGGTTTGCTGAAAGTAGTTTGAGTATAGGTGAAATTTTATTAATTTCTTATTACTTGGTGAATAGACTTCCAGTTGACTACTGGATTTAGGATTAAATATTAGCAGTAGTACTACAGCAGCGACCGTAATGAAGATTTTGAAGAAGATTAGGTAAGTTAGTATTTTTAATCATTTGAGGATATTATTTTTATGCATTGTTCTAAATGTAAGGAGTAAATAAATTAAAATGGTATTATTTGAAAAATTGTTATTAGCAATGATTTAGTTTAAAGTAATTAGGATTGTAATCTAATTTTTATTAATTTAATGTATGTGCTTATTTATATTTTAAGTAGTGTTTTTTAATTTAATTATATTTTAATTTAATGATCGTGATTTTGTGAGTTATACGTTTGTAGTATTTTTGGAATATGTTTTTGAGTAGTATAAGTTGAGTATTTTCATGCATTTTCGTGAAATTTTCTAATTTATGAGAAAAAAGCAGTGTACATGGATACAGTGAAGAGTGTGCGCAATGCCATTTTTGTGGCAATTCTGGGATGTTTTTTTAAGTAAAAAATAAGTCGACGTGTACATGGTTTAGTGATATTTTAATTAAATGATGGTTATTTTGTCAATTTTATGTTTGTAGGAATTTGGTATACGTTTCAGTTGAAGTAAACGTGTATGGAAATAATTTAAATATTTGACACTAAGTATTTGTAACTATTTTTAATGTTTGCGTATAAATTCATTGCTGACGTTTATAATATAATAGATAATTTAGAGGTAAAAGTTTTTGGATATTTTATTTATTTTATACTTGGAAATGTTCATCCTTGGAAAGGGTATGTACTTTTTCGCGATCAGGTAATTTTATATATGTGCTTTTTATTGAGTTTAAAGATTAAGAAAATTTTCCTGCATTTTCGTGCAAATTTTTGTAATTTATGAGAAAATAGCAGTGTAGATGGATAAAGTTAAGAGTGTGTGCAATGCCATTTTTGTGCAATTCTGGGATGTTTTTTTAAGTAAAAATAAGTCGACGTGTAAATGGTTTATGTGTATGTGCTAGTCTGATAAACGCGCTAGGAGTTTGCGATTGTGCACTTTTTCCCAATTTTGCAGTTAATATTTGTCATGATTAAGCAGTTTTGTTACATAAAATTTCTAGCATCAGTGTAATTCGGCTAGTAGATTGTTGGAAAAAGTGTTGAGTAAATAAAAAGAAACACGTCTTTACTTCATGAAGACAAAATGGCGGCGAAAAAAAAAAAAAAAAAAAAATAGAGGGTTGCTGTAGCAGAGTTGGTCGCCAAATTTTCGCCAAAAAATCGGCAAGTTACCATAATCCAAAGATCAACCTATCTCATTTCAGAATTACCTTTCATATTTTTCCTCCGTTCTTTCCATGACCCTGGTATGCTTAATCATCTAAAAACTCGCTTCATTTCCAATTAAACCATGGCAATTCATTACCAAGTTATCAGATTTAATATCAACCTATCTAAATTTATTTCTTAAAAACAAGCATATTTTATTACAAAAATCGGTACTTTTCCGTTTCGCCGGCGCAAATCTCGCCAAGCAGACTTTATTGGCAACAACATACAGTATACACATAAAAAATATTTAAAAAATGTTAGTTCTAAGAATTTTTTATTTTGAAGGCATAAACATTTTAATATCGCTTAAAATTTTATAAAAAGCCAATAAATAAAGACAATAAATTTGTAAAAAGACATTAATTTAATAACAGACATTAATTACTATGCTTTCATGGTTCAACATCCTGATTCGCCGGTTCGTATCACGTGAACCCAAGCGATCTCATCTCACGTAAACTACTCTACAAAAATCTAATGCTCTCAGTAATTATCTACATTAATTTCAAGTTAAATGTTAATTTGGAACACAAGTTTAAATGCAAGAAATATTTCAATTCATACAAAAAGCTCACTCAGAAATTATGTAAAACTGCAGTGCTGTACTTTGCTAATGCATTCTCATTAGAATTGATGAATTTAACCCTTGACTTTACCTTTTCTATATTTTCGGCTTCGGGTAAGCGCTGTGATTGCATCCTAATTGACTTAATTACCGAAAATGGCCTTAGACATAAAACTGTAACTATCTGATAAAAATTCTATGTAATTATATGCCAGTATTGAAAGAAACAATCAATCTGATAAGAAAAAAAGGCTGCAGACTATGTTTTGAAGATGAAGGCGTAAAAGGTTACCAGCGAGAATAGTCCGTTTGGTATCGGTTGTACCATTATTGGCGACTTTATCGCTTGCGCCGGCAAAACGGAAAAGTATCTAAAAATCTTATCAAAAGCAAAAATTTCATAAATGGCAAGAAGAGACAAAATATTTTTAAATACCTCCTTAACAATGAAGTAGATAAGAAAAATGCAATTTCATTCAAGATATGAAATGAATAAATCTGGACTTGCCAAGTATATATTTTACAAAAGTACATAAAGAGATTTTAGGTGCGAAGTGAAAATTCATTAAAATTACACATCAAAATACTCATCAATCTCACATAGGAAGACATCCATCTACACTGGAGCTAAGCTGCAGTATTTCTCACTTTTTAAGTGAAAAAATTCCAGCCTGAGTCCTAATAAAATGCACTCTGGTATTTACTACTTTAACTAATTAATTTATTTTTATTAATTTTTAAACATTATTTAAATATTTTTTCATTTATCTTTTATTCGGTTTTAATGTTTATTACTTTAAATTACTTATTTATTTTTGCTCACTTTTCCTGATAGCCTTTTAGAGGCTCCAGCACATCTAGTTTTAGAAATTCAGCTTTTTAAATCCCGAAGGATTTAAAAAGCTTTTAATAATCTCGGTTTAATCCTAGTATCCGGTGCACAAGGGATTTGGGTACTTTTGGCGACTTTATGATGAGCAGTAAACGGGACATATACGATGAGTAGTTAAACGGGTCATTTTGGTGTTGGTGATAATTTTCAAAATCGCACCAAGGCTGCTCCGTATACTAGGATTTTACCCATATCTCTTCTTATTATTAGAAAAATAAACTTCTTTCTAATGATTTTCACATTACAGATATTAATTTCAACAATTATTATTGATAATGAAACAAATTTTAAATATCATACTGCTAACCAACAATAATAATTTCTGAATACCAATAATTGTATCTGATGATCAAGTAAATTAAACTAATTTATTTACCAAATATATGAAACATATCAAAAATTAGAGTTTTATCATAAATACTTCCATGTTTCAAAACAGACAATGAATCTTAATGAGATAACAAGCTGTAGCAGTACAGTGATTGATTCACATTAAGAACTCCCACAAGCATAAAAAAGGAAATGAAAAAGTTAAAGTTTATTGCTCAGCTAAAAGTAACTGCAGTTAATATAAGGTGCCAAATTAACAGTTCTAATACTTAAATTATAAATGAAAACCTCTTCTTATTGTTATTTAAGAAAATTCCTTAGTTATCTATAATCTACAGAGTGCAATTTTTAAATGATCATACCGGTTTCTTAGTGAATTTCATCTTTCTCTGTTCAGATAAAACAATAACAGTAAACTACATGCGAATTAAGTATATAATTATGCAATGATACATATGTAACTGCAGTTGAGAAAATTAAAAAAGTGGCTAAAAGCAGAAACTATAGTCTCATATATTTTATAACCTACGAAACAATACAACGAAATCTGCCGAAAACTTTTATACGTACTACTTATAAACCTTAATTAAAATTACAAACGAATGTTATTGTTAAAATAAATAAGAGTTGGGACCCAATAAGCATTTATCAATTTAAGAACATCAGAGTTAATTTATATATGTAGAAATTAATCATGTTAAATTATAAAGAAAAAGGAACTCTAATTTTACATGAAATTTTTATACTTCAAAATAAATTTGACGAAATTCTATGCACCAACCTTTAGGTATTCTTACCTCTGCTGACTGGGGATTGCGACACAGAGCGAAAACATTGGGTACTTTTGAATATTTCGCCAATTGTCTCACAAATTCAAAACCTAAGCCCCGACTTGCTCCTGTCACAACAATATTTGCCATTTTCCTTTTACCCTACAGTTACAACGAATTTAGAGAATGCAATGCGTTACGTAACGAAACATTAGCAGACAACTTTAACTATTGTTTTGATGCCAAAATATAAAATATGAAAGTGAAATAATAAAGAAAAACATTTACAAATTTAAAGACGATGGATAAATGTCCATAATATTTCATATAGAAATAAGGATAAAATATGTATACTTTTCTATGATTAGAATTAAATAGATTTATGATTAAATATTAAAATACCAAATTTTCTACTATACAGCCATGTTAAATATGGAATACACTCAAAATAACGTTGCCATGGAAACTGATATTAGTTTGCTTTTCGTGTTCTGAAATCTGATGCGCCGTAATAAAAATATGAACCATGTCATAGTGCTTCTTGTTATTTGGAATGCCATTCGTATATGTTAATAAAATATATTGTTGGATTAGTTACGTTAAACTGCCTTCATAATTTTTCGACAATATGATGTAAAATTATGTTTTGTTTGTCAATGTAAATATTATTTGAAATGCCGTATTATTTTCAGTTTATGAACTTTGCGTTAAAACTTAAAGCTGGGAGTTTTTCTAAATAACATAATGTGCCTACTTATTTCAATAAGAAATACTTTTTGAGTTTACAAAGTATAGAAAGAAGTGTCGTAAAGCTGTTACCTTGTAAGTACTAGAACATTCTTAATGTTTTTTAATATATAGTTGTGAAGATTCATGTGCTTTTTAGAATTCAGATAATAAAGTCTGAAAAATTGCTTGCCTTGTTAGTGAATACCATCATGGGGAAATTTAATTTCAGAAATTCTTCCCCAAATGTATTTTAAAAACGATTTGGTGTACAAAGCTAAAAAGTAGTCTGCATTGAAAATGCTCAAGTTTATTGTGGGAATGGACTTCCATGAATCAGTCCCTATTTGACACTAAAGACTTTTTTTGACAGTGTTTCAGTTTCTTCTTGTGAGTAAAGCTTTCTAAAGTTCACTGAAAGCTATCTTCAATCAACATTGAGCCAAGTAGATGATTTAGCAATCATTTCCATTGAAAATGCAATAGCTAAAAATATTAATTTGTTCCACCTATAAAGCATTTTCAGAAGTCGAAGCTTGCAAGAACAATTTGAGCTTCTTTATAGACAAAATTAATATTTTTAAATCATTAGAAATGGCAGATTAATAAACTTTTTTAAATGCCGTATTTTCCAGCGTATAAGGCACCCTTTTTTTCTTTGGTAACATAGTCTGAAAAATGGGGTACGCCTTATACACCAATATTTGTGTCTTATACATCATTACTTATTGCATCGATACCTCGTTTGTGAATGGGTCAAAGCTTCATGAGATGCTGTGAAAACAGAAACAGTGGTTAAATCATTTAAGAAGTGTAGCATTAGTAATGCACTGGTTGGTATAGAGGACAATTTGTTGTATGAAGACTCAGATGCTGATTTAGAAGAGGTTTCAAGTGACTCTTTATTTAGCTCTGGAGATGAGCGTTGAATTTTGACAAAGGAGATTAAAAGGTGTTCTTTCCCAGATAGGTTGGATATTTGCAGAAAGTATTACTTTGTATTACTTTATATTTAAAATACTGTAAATTCATTATAATGATCAGTAATAAAAATTTTATCCTTAAAAAATGTGCATGAAAAAGAGGGGGATGTTTTGTATGCCGGCAAATATGGTATATGTTTGTCTCCTAGATGAAAGTTGTTTTTTCTTTATTGTTAAGATTTTTTGTTTTCCAAATCATTTTAATTATTAAATATAACTTAACACATAATTTTATACGATTATCATTCCAATAAAGGATCATTCCACCATTTCCAAGCAAATTCCAGGGAGATTTCTGCCTTGGGCCTGGGTAGCTGTAGATCTGCCACTGCTTAAGAAGCAACAATTTTTCAATTAATTCCTTTTGAAACAAGTTGTAGATCATGCTCGTAATAATGTTTACTCAATAGTTGAAGTGGGAGTTTTATTAAAGCTCATATTTTTGATTGAGAAGAATAATTTTTATGCCTCGTATTATTCCTTTGATATATTAAATTGGTTCAATCAAAATTTTTAATGGTGTTTAATAATATTTTATTTTAATACCATATCTAATTTATGTGAAATACATGTGTGTATTCATTGCACAAAGACTAATCAGAATCATATAGCAGTATAAGTTTATAATGCCATCTGTATGCATTAGTATTCAGGGAAAATGAGAAATGAAAGTACAGCATTTTTGAGAGGAAAATGATTTTATTGCTCACAAGGTACCGTTTGCAAAATGCAATGAGGTTACAAAAAGTGTTCAATTTTCAACCATGGACAATAATACATTCTTGACATTATCAACACGTGGAGTCGCACACATTTTGGCAAATTCTCTGGTATGGCTTGCAGTTCCGAAGTGGTTACAGAGGTGATGGCCTCATCACTATACTGTGATGTCCTCATCACTTTCAGTGGGGGACTTTCATTTTTATGAACCCTTTCGGGGAACTTTCATTTTTATGAAATGAAAGTTCCCCGAAAATAAGAATTTGAACTCCAGCATTCCAATACAAGTGCATATTTCTTTATTAGATGTAAAAGAATTTGGTTATTTGAGCAAGTTAATCTTTTTCAAAACACACAACTTTTAGATTCTTGACAATGGAAGAAAGAAGAGGAAGTAGAGTAGAAGCTGTTGATGGGGGTCCTGGGGCTGCATATATGATGTTTGTATTTATGGAGAGTTTGTTGGATAAACTGAAATTGCTGAATTATGACAAAGAATTTACTCAAGAGTTTAAACTGAAAAATCTTAGCAAGTAAGTATATACTCTGAGAGTTTTTATGATGCTATATAGCATATTATTTGATACTACTTCATCATTCTCTGTCTTTTTTGAAAGACCTTTGTATCATTTAAAAAATTACAACATAAGATTTTTAATTTATTTTTCCTGCATATAAAGTTAGTACTTAAAAATTTATCTAGAAAATATAAAAATATTATTTTTTCTTCTATTATTGAATTTTAGTGAAATATTTTACATTATTTATTTAAATTATTATTTAAAGTTCTTATTTCTACTTTTCTTCCTAGATTCAGTTTCATTAAATAAAAATATGTGTTTTCAGTAACTTATACTTTACATTATTATCTTCTTCAGATAGAGTTTGTCAGCAGTGGCGTAGCTAGGATTCCAGCGCCCGGGGACAACTGAAGAATTTGCACCCCTTTCAGTGTGCCAAGAATGGAAAACATTTCATTGAAAAATTTCGTAACATCAATTGGGTGCCGCCTGGATGCTACGCCCAGGGACAGTTAATTCCTCTTTGCCCCACCCTAGCTATGCCACTGTTTGTCAGGCATCTTTGCTAAATAGCATTTTGTGCCAGACGCACCAAACCCAGTGCTTTCTAGCTCCATTTGTTTGGGCCACCCACTTTGTTTATAAAGTCTGACAGCTCCTTAATAGAGCTCAAACTCTTTAGTATTGAGAATACCTAAAGTAGTGAGGCCATTATCAGAAGTTAAAGGTCAGTAGCTTATTTCTATGATAAACATTTTTTGGGATGCCCTTCAATGAATGCAGCCATCTTGACCACTGTAAAACCTTCAGGTCTCTCTCTTTTGGTAGTCTTCGGGGCTGTACTCTGCTCCATTCTTTGAATTTTGTTTTTTCAACCCAAGTATCTTTGGCAATTTTCAATTCTTGGACATGTTTTTTTCTTTATTTTTTTGTGCTGCGGACATTCTTTTTTGATTTTGATTTTATCTAGAGAATACTTTTAATTGCTTCCTGCCCATCTCGACCACTGTAAAACCTTCAGGTCTCTCTCTTTTGGTAGTCTCGGGCTGTACTTCTCCATTCTTTTGAGATTTTGTTTTTTCAACCCAAGTATCTTTGGCAATTTTCATTTCTTGGACATGTTTTTTCCTTTATTTTTTTGTGCTGCGGACATTCTTTTTTTGATTTTGATTTTATCTAGAGAAGTAGTCATGCTTTTAATTGCTTCCTGCCCATCTCCAGATGTTGATTGATTAACTTGCGTAGAGGCCATTTCTACTTCACTTGATAAAAAATTCCTTTCTGCTCCTTCAATTGATTTCCTCTGGGTTTCCTTGTTTTAAGAAGAAAGGTCTATCTCAGAGGTTTTGCCAGCAAAAGCAGAATTTTTAGTTATATTCTTATTTTTAGCCATAATAAATAAAAAAAAAAAAAAAAAAAAAAAAAAAGGTCCACCGAGTATTGCCTGTTGCTGGGTAAGGCAAAATACTCTAGAAATTGCCAGGCATTCTAGAGGCTACGTTAAGACACTATAACCACAGTGTCATTCACCCTAGGCATGGGTCACAGAACACCAGGGTTGCAGGAGGGGATTTGTGGCTTCTTATTTATTATTTGAAGATTTATTATATCTTATTTATTACTGTCAGATAATACAAGACATCCGTCTATCTACTACCTGTCGACATGCCTGGTAAGCCACTCAAACCACAGGTTGCATTATTATTGTTTTTAAGAAGTATTTGGCTCCTGGCTAGCCAGAACTTCCCAGTATTTATTTATTTATTTATTGTTGTTTTGTTTTAAATGACAGCAGTGGCGTAGCTAAGGTGGGGCAAGGGGGGACATCTGTCCCCGGGCGCAGCATTCAGGGGGTGCCAAATTGATGTTATTAAATTTTAGAATGAAATGTTTTCCGTTCTTGGAACAGAGAAAGGGGCGCAAAATCTTCAGTTGTACCCGGGCGCTGAAAACCCTAGCTACGCCTCTGAATGACAGGGACATGTGACTAATTATTTTCAGAAGTAAAGTTAGAAAAATACCAAGTCCTCAAAATTATTTTTCTGCATTTTGAATTATGGCTTGTTATGTAAGAAACTGGTAAGATTTATTTTGTTTTAGGCATTATTTTGCTCTACAAACCAATCCTGGAGAGCAGTTTTTCATATTTTCTTCCTTGGCTGCCTGGCTGATAAGAAAGTGTGGACTGAAATTTGACACACCTCAAGAAGTAATTTAATAGAACTTCTCTAAATTACAACTGTGTTATTTTGAATTTTTATTTTGCAAATTGAGTATCATTTTATAAATACATTATACTGTCATGGTTCTCCACTCCAGTTTAATGATCAGCTATGACTTTATGTAAAATAGTTATGTACATTTTTCTATTACAGTTTGACGATCCTAATGGAACTATTGCCAGTATTTTAGAACAAGTTAGACAGATGGAAAGTATCTGTATAATTACTTTTTTTCCTTAAATAAATCATAATATTATTTGTAATTTTTATTTTATCATTAAAGAAATAAACTTTGTTCATAATAATTACACTACAGTTTCCCTTCTATCTAAATTAAAGTAATTCTATGAAATTTTTTCTGAGATAACAGAAAATAAAGCTTGAAACAACTGTCATTCATATACTATAAGGAGAAAATTTTGTAATTTCATTACATGAGAGTCAAAAAGTTCTCCCAAATCAGAGTATGTAACATGTAAACTCAAAAATGCCCTTGAGTAAAGTCCACTGAGTATTTTGTAGTAAGAACAGGAAAATACCATGGCTGGGATTCAAATCACAAATCATCCAGCTGTGTGGAGTTGGATTTACTGACCGCTTAACACCGTACAAGCATGCATAGAGCAACACTATGATATGACTTAAATATGTGCATTATAGTCTTCTCTTCTTAAAAGGAAGATAGGGGAAATTTATGAAACTCAGTTGACCAGATCCAGGTGGTGATGAGTTATTGCCTGCTTCATTTTAGTTTGAATACTACTGTTAATGGCTGTTATTCATTTTGAGCAAGAAACATAAAAAGTCAACTACCCACCTCCTGGATTCAAAGAAGGCTTTTTCATTTGCTCATTGGATGAGCTGACCACTAAACACCCATCAAGTCAAGCAGGGAAGAATGAGATAATTCTTTATACTTTAACCCTGTGAGCGGCCCGGGTTTTTGGATCTGTCATTAAGACCTCTATCTAAAGAGCCTTTATTAGCTAAATTTGTGTATTTATCTATTTTAGTCCTTATTTTTATAAATTTACATTCGTCAAGATGACATTTATATAATTAATGAAAGTAAGAAAGCAAAATATCTTAAATTATAAGCTAGTTATATACCAAGTAACAAAAAGTCACTTAACCGGATAAAGCCGGCCATGGCGCTTAGAGGGTTAAGCAAAAATGATGTGATAAACATGTGGACATTCTGAAATAGAAACGTGTGCATCATTATTCAATATGTTGTATGTATATTGTAATTTAAGTAGAAGCAAAAGGACTACCAGAACACAGGGCAGTTGCGAGATCGCAGTGGTGATGCTGATGTGTTAAACTAAATCATCAAAAGCTGGACTGTTCAACCTTATGGGAGAATTTATTAGAGAGAGATCATCTATGAAAATCTTGTCATTTGAATCTACGTGGTAGGCAGGTCACTAATGTCTACACCTTCTATGTTTCTGTGTGCCACTAATGTGCTGTGCATCATCAGTACAGCTCGTGTGGACTAGTTGAAATGTGAAAGTATGACTGGCTGTTTATTATAATCCAACTTCTAGCTTATAGTTAATTTTCAATATCGTAATTATGCTGCAAATCTACTGTAAGCCTTTAGTCCAAATTTAGTTGCTGATATAAATATCTGCTTTTTGCTCATCTGCCCCCTCCCAGTGCAGCTGCACCAAGCATTTGAATTTATGAGTAGCAGACTTTTAAGAATTTAATATGGGTGCCAGGCAACAAAATTTAAGAATTTCAAAGACTTTTTGCCACTCGGTGGCAAAATGTTTTTAGTAGTAAAATTGATTTTTCATAAAAATGAAGTGGACATAAATTTTTGATGAATGAAACATCTCCAAGGTAATTTCATAGAATACCATTCTTGCCTTTTACTAGTTGTAATTTCATTTATCATGGTGAAGTACTCAGATTTAGTAATCAATTTCAGAGAGCAAAATGTAAAGCCTAAAGAAAATGTGCAGATAACATTAGAACAAGTATTTTTAATACTTGTTAGCTGATTTTTTTAAAACACTTAAAAATGGAACATAGAAGCATATTATTATGTCATGTCCTTATTAAACATTTGTTTTGGATTTTAGGATAAGTTTATGAAGATTTTCTTATAATTTGATATGAAATAAATTTAGAATGATCATACTTGTCATAATAAATTTAGAATGATCATAGGGCAATTGATTATTAATCAGATAATTCAGTATTTTGATATAAAGATATAGTAATTTACTAAATTTCTATTTATAATTGAAATTTATATTGCATATTTCAAAAGCATTAAAAAATTTTGAACTGAAATCTTGAAATTTTTTTCTTTATATGGTAAACTTTGTTCATTTATGAGCGTTTTTAGTATAATATTATAATTTTTAAGTTTAGTAAGTTTGGTATTGTGTGGTGGGTTGTGCCATTTATTATGGATGTAAGGGATGGTGTGGGTTGGGGTGGGGTGAGGGTGGTGTTGCAGAAGCAGAAAAGATGGGCTTGCTTGGAAACGGTAAAAACAAAAGTTTCATATATTTTTGTATCAAACTATCGATTTGCAGATTAATGCCAGGGTTTTTAAATAAGTTTATAATAGGGTTTTTGAAATTTAATATATTTTAAAGTTTAACCACTGTTTAATTTAACACTTAAATTTAAAAATGCTTCGTAAAGAAATGTTGGCATGTTATTAAATAAACTACATGCAAATAATGACCATTTCTTTTAGGATGTAAGTGTGGATTTTCCTCCAAATAAACTGAAACAGGGTTGGGGTGAGCAAGTGATTTTTGTGTTGTCTCGTTTAGCAGATCAGGCTCTTAAGAAAAATGGCTTTGCTTGGAAACGGTAAAAACAAAAGTTTCATATATCATTAAAAAGTATTTCAAACTCTCAGATTAAATGCCTCCCTTTTTTAAATTAAGTTTCTGCAGGGTTTTGATGAAAATATAATATGAGTTTCTCATTTTAATGGATATTTTAAATTATAACACTGTAATTTAAAATATTAATGCTTAATAACTTGTTCTTAATAAACTGTAACCTTAAGTTTGGCATATATTTAATGCGTTTTTAAGTTATGTAATATTTTTAATCGAAAAAAAATTACAACATTTTATTGAGAAATTTGTAAAATAAGTTATACTTATTATACTGAAATTAGATTAAAAGGTAGGCATGTTGTAGCATTAAAACAGTGCTGCCAATGTTTTAATGCTTCAATTACATAAACATATTATTTATGTACACTTACATAAAATTTAAAACTGTTTTCATATTATTTAATTTCTTGTCTCATATAAAACTTTAGTTTTGAATAAGTATGATTACACTGTATTTATCTGTATAGTATTATCCAATATCTTATTTAAACATACTATATAATTTTTTACTTAATTATACTTATTTAAAACTGAAGTTTTATGCAGGGTATAGTTACAGGGTGAATTAAGTTTATATGCTGCTACATGTTCATTTGTAAAAGTGGTTTGTTTTTATATTCTTAGCCTATTATTAAAGTTTATCCAAGACCTTTCAAATCCCCCCCCCATATATGCTCTTTACTTTTTTAATATAAATCTTAATTTTTAGATTGTAATTTTATTTATTTGTTTGTGACTGTTTATGTTACTTTTTTTTTCCATAACACTGCTTTGTTTACTTAGTCTATTTATTTAAAATTTTCAAGGCCTATACTTTTACCTGAAAATGATGAAGAACATGATGCAGTAATGGATACTGATGATTCCGAAGTAACTTTGGAAAAAATTGAAGAAGAAATGATTGCGGTAAACTGCTCATATTAACTTAAAAATTTTTTAAGTAATACCAATATAATTTTAAGTAATATATACACCAATATACAAAACTTAACAAGTACATTTTTTAACATACAATCATAAATTAAGACACTATAACACGCCGAATAAATATTAATTCAGAAGTCAAACAACAAAAATCAGCGTTATATTTTCAAAATTTTCACAAGACTAGTTTCGATGGTTTTACCGAACCACCATCCTCAGCTGCAAAACCGCAAACAGATCAAATTGCGGTTTTGCACATTCATTTGCAGTTTTGCAGCTGAGGATGGTGGTTCGTTAAAACCATCGAAACTAGTCCTGTGAAAATTTTGAAAATATAATACAGTCATGAAGTTGTTGAAAAGGGCATTTTACAGATCAGTACAATGAAAAGCCAACTCAGCAGAAAGTTGATTCAGATAAAATATCAGCACCATGATGTTAGGGCATGCAAAATGTGAGGAGTCACTGCATTACATGTGAACATAAAATGAAGAAAGGAAGGTACATTTTCAGGCATTCTTCTGCAAATGAAAGTGAGACTGTACATGCAGCATGACTACAAGAAAGCATCATATGCTTTTACACTTTTACTCTGATTGACAAGCTTGACAAGGCACATAGTTCGACATCTGCCACTCAAGAGTTTGTAATTGGTAAAAGTGTTGTTTCACAAGCTTGCAAAGCATTCAAAACAACAGATACAGATGTAAGAAAGGCTGCGGAAGGAAAACAGCAGTGATCATCGTTGACCAATATATTGCTCTGCAGGTGAAAAGAGATTGAAACCACATAACGGGCAACATTGCTGAGCATCTGCCCACCGCAACTAGTCAACAGGTGTCTCGGTTTATTTTGGCCAGATAACTTCATAAAGGTGCCTTATTTTCCCAATGTCTTGAAAGCTGCATATAAATAACAGTATTTAATTGACAGCACTGTTTTCAGTGGTGTAGAGAACACAAAGTTTTGACATCTCATTAATGGAGTCATTTGTTCTTTACCGATGAGAGACGTTTCAGTCTGACAAAATGATTCTCAGTGCCAGTTGATATGGAGAGAAGTAGGAACATACTTTTATCCCACTAGTATCAGGGAAAGAGATATGATTTTAAGGATCTGCATTGCAACTGGATGATTTCAAGTAACGAGCTATTGATTAAGACAATTAATTCACTTAAAATAGACCATATACAATGCTACGATTTCGAGAACTTTTATACTACCTTACCACTTGAAGAAATTTATACCAGCTTACTTGCTCTACCAGATATAATTCCACAGATTTCGACAATAATTGATACCGAAAAATGGCAACTTTTTCTTTCGAGCGTGCTTTTCAATAATTTTATTCTCTTTAACAATAGCATCTTCAAACAAATTCAAGGGATCCCAATGGGTGGTAATTTTTCAAGCGCTGTCTGTGAATTATTCCTTTTCACAAAAGAATTAACCTTTGTCCGTTCACTAAATAAAGAAGAACATAAATTTTACCAACACATATATCGTTACATTGATGATATCATAGCCTTTAACAACCATAACAAAATAGAAGCTGCTAATATCTACCCAACTTGCTTAAAACTAAATAATACAAATACGGTGCAAAATAATGTAGTATACCTTGATCTAAATATTATTGATTACAATTTTATTAAAGTTTACGACAAGAGGAGAGAATTCACTTTTTCTACACTATAGTTAACCAACTGGAATTCTAATATTTCCAAAAGAATCATCATTAACACAATTTTTTCACAGCTACTTAGAATAAAAAGAATATGTAATACTACAGAACACTTACAAGAAGAAATACTTTACTTCGTCGCAATTTTGAAAAATAACCAAATTCCTCATAAAATAATTAAAAATACCTTAAAAAAAAGCTGGCAATTTTTAGATAATTTGTTTTGGATAATGAAATTTTATGCTTAAAGCCCAATGGGACGGTATAAAGTGGATGGCTGATTCAGATAATCTAATGTAAAAATTGTATAAATGTACAGATTATTCTCGTCGCTACATTTTCTTTCCCCCAAAGATATTGGCACTATACTTTAATACTATTGTTTTAATAGTTTTGAATTACTTAGATGGCCAAATTCTACTATTATTAACAAATCGGGCCTTTCATTTTTCATAGTAGCTTGACCGTCGTCTAGCTTGAAGAATGACGACTTTTATTAACAAATGACTTTTTTCCAATTTACTCTTTCTTTTGTGGCCAAAAATAAGTAATTTTAGCTGAATTAGCCATTTTCACTTATTTGAAGCAGTTTTGTTCTTCTAACAACTTGACTGACGCCATTTTAAGTTCTATCTGTGTCTTTTCGCGTCTATCACACCCTCTCTAAAAAAGGGGGGGACAAGAGTTCCCGCCAAAACTACAATCTCAGCCCATTTGCCTATGCAGATTAGATTGTTTCACCCACCTACGTCACACGACGAGACGGAAGGTTGGTAGGACACGGAGGGGATTTGCACCCTTTTCAAATCCTTTGTGTGATGCAAAGGATGGCACCTCCCAGGTCAGTTTTTTCGTTTCTTTTGTTTTATGTTGTTTTTTTTTGGGGGGGGGTCATAATAAGACCCAACGGCGTTTGTTTTCTTGCAAGTTTAATTGCATATTAATTTGATTACAGTACCATTATCTTTATAAAAGTTCTTTCTTCTTTAAGCTATGCAGGACCAGCCTGTACGTTATTGTATTTTTGACTAATAGCAGACCGCTATTTATTTTATTTTGATTTTAATTTTACATTGCTCGGAGTTGCATTTACCTTTTTTAACACCTTAATGTGTTTTTCTGCAGACGCGTCGGGAAAAAGGAACAGAGAATTGAAGCTCCAAAAAAGATTTAATTGGGACAATTCATGTTTTTTATAAAAAATTTTACTCATCAAACAAGAGCTTCAATGGTCTGTTTCGGTGAAACGCGTAATGGTATTTAGCCTAGTTTGACACTCAATCATTTTTCCCTTGAAAAGCCTGGTTGAGGGTATGAGTGGGTTAATTTACCATTTTCCGCTTTGTAATTATTCTATTTTTGCAATTTTGCAATTTATGTTTTCATTATAATTTTTGCATTTTATGTTTTAATATTTTTTCCGTCAATCTATTTTTATGTGTATTAACTTTTCACATATCACAATGGTCAGATTAGTTTTATCGTGCATTCGCATGTCTTCCAACATTAATTTTAACAGTTTTTTTTCGCGTGTAAGCAGTTTTTTTTCCCAGTTTTTTCCAGATTAATATTTTTTTTAAAAATGTCTTTGTTAATATTTTAGTAATACAGCATTGAACTATTTCATGGAGCTACAGCTCCTGGTAACTGTTTAGCAAAATCGCTGCAATGTTTCTACCTACTATTATTTTATATATACAGTTAAAAGTCGTTAATTCGGACACCCATAATCCGGACCTCAAAGCTACAAACTTTCTGCGCATGTGTCGCGTTCACGCATGCGCACAGGCGTTTGAGAGTGCACGTAAGACCTTTACGGCAGCAAATATGTTTGTGCGCATGCGCGTTTAATATGTAACGGAGGTATAAGCTAAGCTAAAATTATCTAATTCAGTTAATGTTGCAGATTGTGTTGTTCCTTAATCTTCGAATTGGATCTGGCTTATTATTTTTTGCAGACTGTTAGAGCAATTTCATAAAAGTAAGCTTGAACTGTCGATTATGTCAATAGAATTTCCGATCTATATTTACTAATATGTAATTTGTATCTACAAAGCGAAAGTATGTTTTGAAATCCGAAATCTGTTTATCAATTTCACGCCGCGGATTGGAAGTTGATCTGTCAGCAGTATCCTTATCTTCAGGGCAGATGTTTTTATTTTATTTGGCTTATAATTCCTTACTAAGTGTAGTATTTCATCTCAATGTACTCCGTCTTTGATATGATTTAAATCAATTCCTTGTCATTATAATTCGCTTCCGATAGTGAAGAAAGTGACCCAGAGGTTATTGAAAACGAAAACATTTTGATTGACAAATTAGTCAGTATTCTCAACACGGATTGGAAGTTGATCTGTCAGCACTATCCTTATCTTCAGGGCATATGTTTTTATTTTATTTGGCTTATAATTCCTTACTAAGTGTAGTATTTCATCTTGATGTACTCCGTCTTTGATATGATTTAAATCAAGTTCCTCATCATTATAATTCGCTTCCGATAGTGAAGAAAGTGACCCAGAGGTTATTGAAAACGAAAACATTTCGATTGACAAAGTAGTCGGTATTCTCAACACAGCAATTATAGGACTTGAACAGCGGAACTTTGTAACTAAACAAGAAATTATGTCTGTTTAATAGAATTAAAGAGAAAGTATTATCACATGAAACGAAGCAACTTACATTGAAAGAAATGTTTAATAAAGTAAACAAATAAATATTAAGCTTTTTCTTTTTGTAAATTTTGATACCCTTTAGATTATAATTGTTCTTTATTTCATAAATTACGGTTTCATATTTTTAATTTTGTAATTTCTGCATGCCATCTTACCAGATTTAAACTGATGATCTATAATCCGGAATCGCCGAAGTCCCGACGAGTCCTTATTAACGACTTTTGAATGTATATATAACTTTGGTTTAACATCCTCCAAGCAAATCTGTGGCATTTATCATCTTCAGTTCAATAATCTCACCCCTAACTTACAGATTTTAGAGTTCCGTATTAAAAGCATCCTCTTATAAATTAAGCAATCTTCTAATAATTTATGCATGTGTATCTTAAAAAAAATGAAAATTTGAATAATAAATCACATTTTGAAATTTGAAAATATAAAAAGGCTATATTCGTTAATAAAATATTTTAATGCATTTGTGGAGTATAATAATAATAATAACTTAAAATTAAACATATTATTGAAAATATAAATAGTGTATTCAGGATTATTGTAATTAAAAATATTATGATAAATAAAACATACACTATGATGCTTAAAAGTATAAATAATCTTTATTTATTAATTAGATATTTTACTGCTGTTGTAGAAAATAATTAAAAAAATTAATGAAATAAAATGTGTTATCCAAAATATACAATCATATATAGGATTATTAGAAATAAAACTATTGTTAATAAATAAAATATTATCAATGAAGAATAAAGGAGTTTTACCATGAATTTGTGAAACATTCTTTAATGCTACACCACTTGCTTAGTTTTCTACATTAATATGAATGACCTCCTGAATGACCTAAAATCAAGGTTTACCCAGCAGCATTAAAATATGCATAGTAAAGATTAATAACCTGTATGAGGAGTTCCCAGCATGGTTGATATTGACTCCATGGGTGTCAATGAAATTTTAAAAGGGTCAGTGGTGATCAATATACAAATTGATTGTCATAATCAGTATTACATTGCTTACAAAAATGTGTTAAAAAATTAATAATTAACTGTTTATTGATGTAAAGCTATATCATGTAATAAGGAAGAAATCGTATAAAATAAATATGAGAGGGAAAATACGCTAAAATTATTTATTATATTTTTTGGAAACCAATGATATTTTTTTTAAAAATATGTAAACTTTTTATGTAATAGATGCAATATAAAAAAAGTAAAAGACAGTAACACAAGAAAACACAATTACAAAAATGTGATTGTGTATAGAACACACTTAATATGAGTATCCATTATTGAAAAAAGTTGTATTTCTGCAGAAGTTATATTGTTATATACAAATCATTTGCTGAATTTTATAAAAGATTTTTATGTTCACTTTTAAGACATTGCAAATTTTAATGTGCCAACATGGCTTATTGAACTGCAATATATCTGATTTTGATATTACGATGCAAGAAGAGTTGACTGGATTGATGAAGAACTTTAAGCACAAATTTTATTCAAAACACATGTGCATACTAAGTCTCAATATAAAAGTTATCTAAGAGAAATATTCCAAAATAAAAGCTATTAAGCCCAGTGGCGAAGTGGCTAGCGCATTGCACAGCTGCACCATTTTACTTTCCAAATCTACAGAATAAATAATCTCACATTAGCTTAATTACATATATATTCATCTAATATCCTCTAAAATGTATGTTATTCAACTCAGGCCATTTTTATCATTAATCTCTACCGATAAACCATATTAAATTTAAAAAAAAACCTTTTGGGCAGTCTTTAACCCTTTCCGGCACGTTACCTTTTAAAGTTGGAGTTTTGATTTAAAAAAAAAGGTAGGCAGTCTAACTAGGCCTAGAAGAGTACACAAGTAAATTTGGTGAAGATAACACTTATCGTTTTAATTATGTGGGTGTGCCCAAAGTGGCACACTGATTGAATAGAACTTCGAAAAGAGTGCTGAAACGAGCATTGTTGTCAATGAACTGACCGATGAGATGCAGAGAAACAAAGAATACAGACTCTCAGTTATCCTAGATTATCAGTGAGCCCAGTCTGGGCACACCTAGGGTTCGCCGTTTGATTTTAAGCATGATTTCAAGGTAAAAATTTAAAACTAATATAGGATAAGGATATTAGTGTACAGCCAAAAAAATAACATAGAAATTTCTTTAACATAGAAACATAGAAACTTTAACATAGAAATTTATACCATAAAAAAAATCTGGAAGATTTCTTTGAAAAATGAAGGTCTTAAAAAACTAAACATGGCTAAAATATATGGACTGATTTGTGTTGAGCTACCATCCACTATAAATAAAGAAGGTTCAGAGTAACCTATAGTAACTTATAAATCCTTTTTCATTTAATTTTTCTGTTGTGCGTACAGAAGGAAATTTGTAGGTGTGTCCAGACCAGACACACTGTGCCACAAAGGGTTAAAATCTGAACCCTTTCAGATTTTTTTTAGATAACTTATTATCTTGACTTGTTAATAAAGGAAGTTATAACACACAAATAATTTGGGTCATTATCTTTTTGTTTTTTGCATTACTCATCATTTTTATTGTAAAATTTTTGTTAACAAAACACCTTCAAATATTATTTTAAATATTTGAAAATCGATCTGTCACTTTAAATATCCATGTAAATTTCAGCTGAATGTTCCTGTAATGATGCTTTACGAAGAAATGGCTCTGCTATTATAAATAATTGAATTCAACTTATAAATACCGTTTAATTTTATGAAAGTAAATGTAATTATGAGATACACTTGCACAATCCCTTTATTAAAAATTATACAGGATATGATTTTTATGCATGCATATTAAAAATTTAAGTTTTATTTATTTTCTTTTTGTCTAGATAGTGTGTATGTTTTAATTGATAAATTTATTAATCCATACTTCATTGCTGATCAAGTAATAATATTCAGACTTGTTAATTATACCTAAGTATGTGTGAAAGCTTACAAATGTGGTATATTATTTGTTACAAGAAAGTCTTCTTGTGCTGATTATGAATATTCTGTTATTTGTCTAATATGATGTTCAAAAAGATACTTAAATTTAAAATTTATTCTTAACAGGAAGCGTATGGAGAAGAGGATTCTGATGAAGAAGGGGAAATATTAGATTTAGAAGCACTTCGAAACTTATCCATTGCTAAACAGGTAGTATTTCTAAATTAGGTAATAAATTTAAAAAATGCATTTACATTGCACATCCAGAGAAGTTTGCTTTGCTTTTAAATAACTTTTTATGGAATAACAATTGTGTAAACAATTAGCCTTTATTACCGCAGTGCAAAGAAGTTTTATTTTGGGAATGCACTTTTTCTGGAGTTGGTGCATCACGCTTATTCGTGCAATTGTTCTGATAAGCAATTGTAAAAGAAGATCATTCAGTTATGGAATCTATAATACTAAATTCTCTATATTTCCAAACATAAATGAGTCTGTGTATAATCCAAGAGATAGGATTTTGCTGCACAATTTCAACCAAAACTGAAAAACTTGTGTATAAGTCGAACTTGAAATTGCTACATAAATCTAGCATATATATATATCGCTGATAGTGAAAATAATTGATTGTCTAATTTGGCTAGGCATATCAGTCAATCTGAAGATAAGTGTTTTCTGATACCAATCTGAAGTTAAGTGTAAGTGCATATTCACCTTCAGCTTCGATTGGAAATTTAGAGTTAAGAGCATTGTAGAAAGTAAGGGCACTTTTGGCATGAAAGTTTCTCTTTCTCATTTTCCCAAATTTCTGAGCATGTGCTTCATTTGGCACTTTGGAAATAATGTGGTGGATTTTACCTTGTTCATGGTTGTGGTAACTTGTCTCAGACAGGTACAGAATTTCTGTCCTCTAAGTTGCATCATCATTATTGTGAGTAAAATACGATTTTTTTATTTCTATTATGTAATGAAAAATGTTCAGACTTAACAAAAGACTGTGAATTTTAAACTAAATGTTTTAAATTTTGCTGTGAAATTCTATGGACAGAGTTGAAGTATCTGAAAGGCAGTTCATAACAGTACTGTTAGCGAAATGGAGGATACCTCTAAACTACTTGGCATAGACAATATTGAAAGGACACCTTTACATCCACTGTTACACAGCATGGTGGAAAGGTTTAATTGAACCATCTTTAATAACTTCGCGCTGATGGTTTCCAGAAATGAATAGGTCTAGGACCAGAAGTTACCTCTGTTTTTACTGGCCTACCGCAGTGCTGTCTATGGAACTGCTGGCTGTTCCCTTTGCAGATGCTGTTCGGTCGTGACCTTCATCTGGCCTCATGATCGTCCTCCGGATGTGCCTTTAATGCCTGAGGAATACATTCAAGATCTCTAGGCACGATTTCAAGTGATGCACATTTTTGCACCAGACCCAGTGAACTTGGTAACGGAGAAGATAAAGACCCGATACTACACGAGACAGGGCATGGATTCAATGAAGGTGACAGGGTGTGGTATAGAATTTGATTTGATGGAAGGGACTTTCTTCTAAACTACAGGCTGAGCGACATTGTAGTTCGGATCCATAAGTAATCAAATTCTAAGCCTAAAATAGCTCATTTAGCTCATTACGACCAATTAGTCCCTTACTATGGCCATAGTATGTAGTCTCCATAGTGTAAATAATGTGTAGACAATTTTCCTTTCACTAAATATAACTTGTGGTGAATCCTCAATTAGACTGTAAGAGACTTAGAGCTATGTCCAATGTGAAACAGAAACATAAGAAGGGTTTTAAAATACCCTCTTATTTAAAACTAAGTAAGTTGAACTGAAGCTTACAAATAAGCCAGTATTACCTGGTGCTTACAAATAAGCCAGTATTTATGGCATGAACACAAGATAGAGTTTTAACTTTAAAACTAAATCTAAGTATCTATTAACAAGAGGCTACACAAACTAAATTAAACACAAAAATTGACTCTTTACGCCAGTGTAGAAGTACTATCGCAAGAATAAAGCAGCGCTGACGACAGGAATTCTTATCTTAGAATAACAATTAGTAAGCAATTTCATACCCTCACTTAAATATGCATGAGCTAATTTGCATTCTGACTGGAAAACGGAAAAAGAAAAGTGACAGTACAGATTCAGAACATAAAAATAACTTTTTAATTAACATAAATAAATCCAACAAATGTAAATAGCTTTAAAAAGATTATAGTTCTATGTGTATTATGTATTTGTAAGTGCATGCATTAATTGTTTAATTTAGTATTTTATTTGTTGTCTGTTATTTACTGAAATGATTATTTTAATATTGGGTTGGTTTTCCTTAGTTAAGTATGGCATCCTCCCCGGAGATTGTACTGGCCGGGACGTGCAGCCCTTGGGAATGGGGCAATGCTACTAATTTTGTATAATGTAACATGAAAAGTATGAAGAAATCGAAAAATAAGATTAGAGAGGCAAGTCAGTTTAACAATTGAGGTAAATGGCTATTTTGCTAAATTGCCGATATATCACCATGCTAGAGATGGTTTTGGCGACAAATCCCCAAAATTCGCCCAACTTGGCTACCATCTGACAACATTTGGGTCCAGTCCCTGTATAACTGTAATTTGGCAGTCTAACTGGATAACTGTAATTGAAACCTATATGTAACAATAACCGTATCTGGACCCTATATGTAACTTTAACTGTATATGCTTTCCAGTAATTCTGAGAAATGGACAGTACTGGAAATTCATTGGCCGCCAGCAAGAAATTGCACTTGTGAAAGTGAAATTGCAACACTTTGAAGGTATGTGCATAGCAATGTAAAAATAATGGGATTGGCAGATCTCACGATCTGAGATCCATCTGAGAACACGACAAAGAAGCAGTGGATCATCTAGGTGCACATCAAATCGCACTGATAGGCAAATTCGACGGATGTTTCGTGGGGACCCGTTTACCATGGCAAGTCATATTTAAACCTACCTACCATTATCAGAAGAGACATCTCTGTCCTGCAAAACCATCCGTAAGAAGTTGCATGAGGCAGAGATGCGCGCACGGCGGCCAGACACTAGTGTTCCTTCGACTCAGGGCTGTCCGTCTGGCTTGGTATCGACGTTATCTTCAATGGAGGAATGAATGGCATTGGGTATTGTTTTCAGATGAATTCTGTTTTTGTTTATGGAGGATTGACGGTCATTGACATGTGTGGCGGCTTCCCGGAGAACGTTACCTGCCAGCCTGTATTGTCGATCGTCATACCGAATCCACACCGGGCTTCATGGTTTAAGATAGTATCAATGTTTGGACAGGGACCTTTGAGCACATTACTGGCAATTTAACGTGGGGCCGGTACGTAACACCAGTTGTTATGGCTGTGGTTTGGCCACTTGGTGCAGGCCATTCCTGGCACGTTATTCCAGCAAAACAACGCTCAGTCTCATGTCGCACGTCACACTTTGAACAGCCTCAATGGAACTGACATTCTTTCCTGGCTGGAAGTCTCACCCGATCTCTCTCAGCATGTCTGGGCTGCCATCAGACGTGTGGTGTAGAGGGCACTGCAGGCGCATACTGTAGAGGAACTGAGAATTGCAATGAACTCGGCTTGGCAAGGAGTATCTCCGAAGACTATTAATAGCATCATAGACAGTATGCGTCGCCAGTTTTAGAGGCCTTTATAACTGCTCGTGGTGGCCACATTAGATACTGAATAAATAGTTTAATTTTTCATATCTTTATTTGTTTCGTTAATCATCTGCATATGTGTCTTACCTCTATTGATTCTGTTATTTTTACATCGCTATGCGCATTCCTTCACAGTGTTGCAATTTCATTTTTGACAAGTGTATATAAGACCAGAGAGTGCATCAGTTCTCAATTTTTCTCTCTTACAGGTCCTCATGCACCATGACAAAGGATCACGTTCTTTCTTTCTTTTTTTTTTTTTTTTCTTTTTTTACATAGTCAAGCATCCGATTCTACGAAATGTACTTTCAAGAAATATTCAATTTCAAGTACGAAGGGTCCCAAATTCATCTGAGCTTGTAAAACTGCACTTTGCACAATAAACTAGCAATGAAATACTATATTCGTATTTGTCTTCAGTTCTCAGTTTTCGTTCAACTTTGGATGATACAGAGTGTTAAAAGATCTCCGAGTGAGTTTCGTTCTTTAGATGTGCTTTGCATTGTGCTGTGCTAAACATTGTTAGTAATTTGAAATGGTAACTACTGATTGGCTCTGTTGTACTGAGAAGAGCTGTATGAGTACTTTTATGGAAAGTTCTAGAGCTGTAAAGTGTTTCTTTTCGAAAATAAATTTTATTAAGCTATCATTGGTTCTGTGTGCAATTAATCCATGCATGTAACAATTTTTGGCCTTAGGGAAGTGTTGGGAAGACGTAGATATGACATATGCTGTATATGAGTGTATCTGAAAAATGTGTCTAAGAAAGTGAACAAAATAATGCGAATAGTTGTAAAGTGACATAAAATCTTTATTAATAGGAGACTAGTCCATTTATATGGTGTAATTTAATCAATTTTATAATTTTAAAGCATCTGCAATGTTCACGAAGAGCTATAGAGAGTACATTGTCTCGTAATTTTTTTTGGAAATGTACTTATATATATATATTCCTTACTCGTTATTTAAATATATACTACGAGTAACATGGATACTGTTCATAATTAACTGTAAATCATGGTTAATCTAAGGGCAGTTAAAAACACATAGGAAAAGGAATAACTAGTATTATAATTAACAGAAAAATGATATTAACATTTTATCTCCATTTTCAAAAAATTTAATAGAGAATAAATTCACATAGTTATGTAAATTAAATTAGCACCCAAGACAAAAAGAACACATTGTAAATGAGGGAAGCTACTTTGCTCTTAATGGGGATGTCACTTAGTGCCAAATATAAATGTTAGTGCAAAATCTAACTAGATGGCAGCAACTCGAACAGTACGTACAGTTTCACGAAAAGGATAACTATTATGGCTACTTTCAAAAAGTGAAAAATCACAATTATATAATATATGTAAGGTACGCAATGTCAAGGCTTTGGATGATGCTGAATTTATGCAATTTTCTGTTGTTTTTTAAAAACAGATTGCTGTGTACATGGGGAGAATGAAACTATTGTTCTGCCTTGTTCACAGTGATTGTTTTCACTTAAAAAACTTCAGAGAATGCACAAAATTTTCATTGCACATAACTTTGACATGACGTGTTCATGACGTGATTTAAATAGACTACCACATTTGGCACTTTGGCAATTGACACCCGGTCAACAGAAAACTATCAAATGGAAGAATAAACATCATTAGAATTGAAGAAAATGTTAAATTGAAGAAAAGTTATAAACGGCAAAGGCATTATATACTGTTGCTGTTGCGTTGCATGCTTTTCCTCCCCCCGCCATTTTTGGGGGGGGTAGCTTCTATAAGCAGTTATTGTTTTGTGATAGTAATTTTTCTATTAATCTGCTATAAACAAACTTAGTTATTTTTAGGCAGGCAAACTAATCTGTCCCTTTTTAAAAGTTGATTATACATTTAGTGCTTTAAATTCATTTGCATTATTCTTTGAAAACACATGTTTTTTTTTATTTATAATGTTTCTACAAATAAATAAATGTAAATAATACTGAATGTTAAAATGGACGTGTTTCATATCTATATTTATACTCTGATGTTTTTATTTTAGTTTGAAAATGTCTTGCAAACATTTTATGGCTTCCATTAACATAAGAGCAATGAAACATTACTTTGTAGATGTGTATGCACACTATAATAAACTTCTAAATGCAATATGCTAAGTTTGGTATGTGATAGGATAAAGGAGAAAAAAATAAACCAGATGAAGTTATGGAATCTAATATGGACTGTATGGAGTGGAAATTGGAAGTTGAACGAGTTATGCCTCTTTTGAAAATTACTGTTAGAAATGACTCTCGAGTAAGTATTTGCTTTTATTATCTTCATTCTTTATTTTTAATATTTTGTTCAATTTTTTTTTAAATATGTATAAGTAAACTTGATCACAGCACAGATTTCAGGCAATAAAATTTCAGTTATTTGATCAAAATATCGAATTCAGTTAAATTGCTTGTGACAGTAAATTAAAATATTGATATTACAGCATGATTATAATATTGTTAAAGTAAATCACTTTGTTACTATTAACTCATATTTTGAAATTTATTTAATAAAATATTGGTTATTCCAAGTGCATAAAATGGTTCGATTCCTCAGTAAGAAATTATAAAATGAGAAGCGTTAAATAAATATCATAATAGGATAAATATATTCACAAACTTTTGAAGTCGGTAGTATTCTTGAAATATAAATTATCAACATTTATACTTTGGGGAGACCTCAACATTTATTTGAAACGAAAAAATTTAAAGATTACTAGATATGCCTCACATATAAGAATAAATTAAGAAGAAAAAGCCAATGCCTTTGGTAGTATGTTTGCTTACAAGAAAGATCTTGAAATAAATTGTCCATTTAAATTTAGTTTTGAATTTTGTTGCTAAAAGTATAGTAAATTAGTTTTTCTATTGATCTTTTTATACCTTTGATCTAAAAGTAATTCTTGTAAAACTATTCTTTAATATTAAATACAGTTTGAGTTTGTTTTGCAGCAGCTTTTATTTTATATCTTCAGAGAAATGGCGAAATACAGTGTCAATGCTGTGTGCAGCTATTGTAAATTATATACAGGTGCATATAAGTATTTTAAGTATTGTAATAGGGAAGGGTGCCAACTTAAGCCACTTTGACCGCAAGCAAAAGGATCTGGAATGCAAGCACTAATGTACAGTATTAATTGTTGGCTGCAACATGTTAAGGATAGTATACTAGCCAGTGACAGGATCAGTGTCGTGAAGATATTACAAATGGTACACGCTTTTATGCGTAGTATGCAGATTTCCATTAGAAGGGCTCACACTAATCAACCATGCATGGTTAATCCTGGAAGCGAGAATCACTTGTCATGTGTGATATCTCGCAGCCAACTGCATCAAATGCACAGTTAATTCATCAATACAACAGCGGTGCATTCCCTGAAATTCCACAGCTGTTGAACCATGATGACTTTTATGGATTGTAAACAGCGTTTTAGAGCTCCAAGAAATTTCATCGGTCCATCTTAAAGTGAAGATTTCACATGCAGGAAGCATAAAAAGAATTACCATCGCTTGAAGTTTTACATCTGATGAACAATGAAGATACCTATGATAACCCTTTACATTGAAATAGCATTTTACACTGTCCAAGAATCTTCAATATTATAAGTTCATTTGGCATGATGACTGTCATTTTCTGCTGTATTACAACTATTACTGATTGCCTATATGTCGTAAAGAGCATCATGTCCATGGCTATCAATGCTTCAATAATGAATTGTGAACATTATGGGAAACTTTAATCAACTATTATCGCACATATCCTCAGAAGGGACCAAAATGCTACCTTTGAAAAGGACAGATACACGAAATTCATGCATTTACTGACTGGGAAATGTAACAAAAAAAAATTTTCCACAGTGTTGAGACCCACCAGCGGCCAAGCGGTAAAGTCGCTGAATGCTGGTAGTTCGGTCCGAGGTTCGAATCCCGCGAACGGGCTGGCTGCATAGGTGTTTTCGTGGTTTCCCCATGTGTAACATGTATACGAGCCAGTTTCCCTTAGAAAGTCCGCCACGAAGGCATCCCTCCCCTTAGGCAGATAGCCCTCGAGGCTTTGCCGTAATTAAAATAACCTAACCTAACCTAACCACAGTGTCAAACCCCAGCATTTTCCTTACTATAAATGAAAGTTTGTGGAATATGTTAGAAGAGAATTATTGATCTTTCTGTATGATCCATCGGTTTAGGGTCATTACTTTTCATCATCTGTAGCTTTATCAGTTCATGAACTTATGATCCTTCTAATAAGTGCCCGGTCCAATGTTTATTAATATTAACTACTCTAAGGATCTTGTGCTTGTTAGACATAGATGACAGCCTCCTAGGACGACGATTTTCGGAACAAATTGTTCTCACAAGCGACAGCTAAATAAATATATATTTATATATAGATTTGAATTTGATATATATATGTGAATTATGAATACCTTTAATTTATGGACACTAGATAGCCAAGAGTTTTACTGCCAAGACGGCTATCTAATATGGGACACTAGATAGCCGTCTTGGCAGTAAAACTTCTGGAGCCAGGCCTAATTTCTAATCATACCTATATGAATCTGCTAAAACAGCTGCGAGTTATACATGAAAGATAAAGAATACTCGAAAACTCACGGTTTAGAGTCATTAGGTTATTTTGCAGCTGGACACGTAAAAAATTTGCAGTGCCTTCGCCGGGACTCGAACTCCGAACCTCTCGAATACGCGTCTAGTATACTTCCAATTACACGACGAAAGATTGCGGAAAGGAGGGAGAAAACACCTAATATACTTCCCCTTTTAAAGGGCGACTGGGAATGAGGGGGACCCAGTCGCCAAATCCTGGTTGACGAGTTATCGTGCATCACCTTTTAGCTCGGCCGTCACTGTAGAGTCTTTAAGTTATATCGATGTAGGAACTTGAAAAATACGCAGTGCCCTCTCCAGGATTCGAATTCCAGACCTCTCGAATACGCGCCGAGTGTGCTTCCAATTACACCATGAAGGCATGGTGTAAAGGAAGCAAATACTTTATAACGGAATCTAGTTCTCTTCGTCTATTGGTCGTGATTGAACAAATGAATAAATAAAAATAAAATAAACAAAAGACTTATGCATTGTTACTAAAGTGTATCTGATGCAGAATTAATTCAGTATATACTGGAATAATTACAAAATGTGAGAGATTAAACTTCAGGTTTCAAGTTATTCAGCTGTCTAATGCTTCTCCCCATCGGATGAAGTCTATGTACAGATTAAGGTAATAAATGTTTTAATTTTTAAAATAGGTACCAATCAATAATAACTAGAGATTCGTTTGAAGTCTTGAAAAGATTTTTTCTTTAACAAAGAAAATAAGTTTAAAAAAAGGGGGAGAGAAGTTTTGTTTTCTTAAAGTAAGGGAAACAATGACCAGTTGCAAAGACTGAATGACAGTTATCCTGCATTTTTCAGTTTCTTCCTTTTGTGAAAACGGGTATGTAACATTTCTACATTGAAGGGTGTTACGTATGTTGTCTTTCTCGCTACGAAATTAACACCGATTTTTTTTCATTTTTAGAAATTTTTTTGCAATGTGAGAAATTTATCTGTTAGACATCTCAAAGAAGCTGCAGTCCCCTCCCTCCCTTTTAATTATTTTATACATCGAAACATCGTTTATTTTATAGCATTTTTCGGAATCAAGATTTTCCCATTATCTAGACTTTATTTCAATAAAATTAATTTAGCTACTAAATTGGTGCATTTTTAATTTTAATTGCATGATAATTTAATGAATGTCAACTTTTATTTATAAAAATAAAATAAACAAAAGACTTATGCATTGTTACTAAAGTGTATCTGATGCAGAATTAATTCAGTATATACTGGAATAATTACAAAATGGGGATATTGGGAAACGAAGAAGTATTAACTAGCTTATAGCGTTAAGTTAATAAATAAAAATTTTATCTTTACAAACGTGAAGAAGAATATTTTTATGTTTCTAATTTAATTATAAGTATTTCAAGAAGTTTATTAAAAGCCGAAACTTTCTCTTTAGAACAAATTTATTACTAGTTAATTTTAACTGCTAATGTCTTGAAAGCTGAAATACAAGGTGAACGCGAAATGGGCTTTGATTATAAAAATTTATTGTGTGAAAACTGTTATAATTAAAAATATGTTTCTTTTGATATATTGCAAGTACTATTATAAAGTTTTAATAAGACTACGTTCTTCAATAATTGAAACATGTGCCCCCTTGGTAGCGCGGATAATGTCAATGCGGTATTATATTTCTTGCCAAGTGTTCTTTAACGTGTCTTCTGTTAACTGTACATACAGCATCTGTTAATCCTAGTCTCCCATTCCCAATGTCAGCAGTTGGTGTGGCAAAGTCTATGTACAGATTAAGGTAATAAATGTTTTAATTTTTAAAATAGGTACCAATCAATACTAACTAGAGATTCGTTTGAAGTCTTGAAAAGATTTTTTCTTTAACAAAGAAAATAAGTTTAAAAAAAGGGGGAGAGTTTTGTTTTCTTAAAGTACTTCCTTCGTATAGGCCCAAAATAAAAAGTCAAGAAAAGTTACCAGAAGAACGTACAGTGGATGGACAAAAATATGGAAACACCTTGTGAAATGCATGTTTGAAAAGAAAGATTGATTTTAATGAAATATGTAGATGGCGCTGGCGTTTTTGACTACTGACGCCACCTATACAACTTCGTAAATGTGCTAAACAGTTCAGTTGTTGTCAGAGTACTGTTATGTGAGGTTTTCATTGCATTATGTCAGAGTTAACAGACTTCGAACGTGGGCAAATTGTTGGAGCACGTATGGTAGGTGCTTCCGTAAGCAAGGTAGCCGAGGTGTTTAGTGTTTCAAGAGGTACTGTATCGAAGATTTATTCCGCATATTTGAAAAGCGGAAAAACATCATCTGCTAAATCACAGCGCGGACGAAAGTGTGTCCTGAGTGATCGTGACAGACGATCATTAAGGGCAATTGTGACGAAAAATAAGAAGACCACAGCTGCAAAAGTTACTGCTGAAATGAATGTTGTGTTATTACCGAACCCTGTGAGTACCAAAACAATTAGAAGGGAGCTTCATAAACAGGGAATTGCTGGCCGTGCTGCAATTGAGAAGCCACTCATCAGTGATGCTAATGCCCGTAACAGGAAAAGGTGGTGTTTAAGTCATAAAGCCTGGACTATAGAGCAGTGGAAGCGAGTAATATGGTCTGACGAGTCTTCTTTCACATTGTTTCCCACTTCTGGCCGAGTTTACGTCTGGAGAACGCCATCTCAAGCCTATAATACAGACTGCTTGTTGCCAAGAGTGAAACATGGCGGGGTTCTGTTATGGTTTGGGCAGCCATATCGTGGTTCTCTGCTAGCCCCATGATAACTGTGTCAGGGCACATGACTGCCAAGACTTATGTGAACATTTTGGCCGATCAAGTTCATCCCATGGTACAAACTTTGTTCCCCGATGGTGATGGTGTCTTCCAAGACGACAAAGCCCCTGTTCACACAGCTCACATTGTCCAGGACTGGTTTTCTGAGCACGAGGATGAGTTGTCCCATCTCCCCTGGCCACCACAGTCACCAGACCTGAATATTATCGAACCTTTGTGGTCTACATTGGAACGGAAAGTGCGTTCTCGTTATCCACCGCCAACATCGTTATCTGAACTTGCCACCGTTTTGCAGGAAGAATGGTATAATATTCCCTTGGCAAACATACAGGAACTGTATTTATCCATTCCGAGAAGACTGCAAGCTGTTTTGGATGCCAACGGGTTTCCTACACCATATTAAGCAAAGAAACATGTTTTTTTAAAGGTGTTTCCATATTTTTGTCCAACCCCTGTAGATGCCATTGTGTTAACCCATCCCTTCCAGTTCACCTGCCCGGAAGATTTTCGTCTAAGAACTCACGAACGAAGGAACCCTGTTAAGACAGTGCTGATAAATAATCCATGGTTGAAATTCTTCTAAGATTTCCCACAAGTCTAACTAAAAGTTAGTATTGATGTTTTTTCCCCTTGAAGAAAAATGCTCAATAACCTTGTTATGAAGCGGCACAGTACACTGATTTTAGGTCTGTCTGTCACTATGTATGCATTAGCAAGTGAATTCTCTGATTCCCAGATACGGACATTTCCGCTGCCCAGAAAGGCTGATTTATCGAAAAAATAAACGCAATTCAAGTAATCTTTATCTATTGAACAAAAAAGTTGTTAAAAGTGAACTATCCAATGATATAAAAATTACATTATTACATTCAAAGGGTTTTTTTTTTTTTTTTAAGAAATTTTTATAATCAGAAGAAGGCTTTGTGCTCACCCGCTATTTATGCCTATATGCGTATATTTTCTGTAAAAAAAACTGCATGTATTTTAAAAAGATTTTGAATTAGGTACCTTTTTCTGTTTATTATGTTTAATTCAAAATATAATTTAATTGTAGTTAAATACATCCAACTTTTAATTAATTGCTTTTATGTATTTATACCCATATTTCTCCTATTACAAGCGTTCCGTCGCTTATCCGTCCCGAAGCAAATGATTTAGGCATATGATTTAGAAATTTCTAAATCTTGTGTAAATAAATAAAGTACTAGAATTAACAAATGTGTTTAACTTCTTTGAAATACAGAATACAGTAATATTATTATATAGTATGCGTAGGGGCTGTTTAATGTCCTAAACTGCGTTGCCTTTAGAATGATGTACACCGCATGACTTTCTCATCTTGATTTTCAAAATGTAAAATGTGCAAAAAAGAGGGGAGAGGGGAGAAAATATGGGAGTATGATACGTAAATACGCTATTTCAATCCCGTTATTCCTTATTTTTTACCAATTAGGACTGGAGCTTCTTATTCCTTATTTTTTACCAATTAGGACTGGAGAAGCCATTTAGATCAGATTCATCAACATAGAAAAAATATTGAAGAGACGTTGACCACAACAAGGCAACAACTAGATAAGCTTCACTTGGAAATCAGCCGTTCGTTGGAAAAAATCGGCAGCAGAGAAAAGTACTTGAACAGTCAATTAGAACAACTTATTTTGGAATACCGTACTGCCCAGGATCAGCTTGCTCAAGTCAGAGAACAATATAAATCCGTCAGCGGTGGGGTGACTGAAAGATCGCGGGCATTGTCCCAGGTATTTTCTATAGTTTTGTTTCAAATGAAATTTTTGTTTAAAATTATAGTTAATCAAAACAGTTTTGATTATGTAATGCGATTGTACTTTAGAATGTCTTGTATGATATTTTTAAAGTTTCACATCAAAATTCAGGAAATGCATAATGGAATTTTCTCCTTTCCACTAGTAAAACTCATTTTGTTTGAAAAACTATTACATTAAATCAGATTTCTCTCGAAATATATAGCATTCCTTATCACCAAACGTTATTTCAAAATGTGAAATAACTTTTGGTGGGTTACAAAAAGCTTTGAAGTTTCTTTTCCTATAATTATGCATAAAATTGTGATTTGATTTATAATGCACAAAACATCTGCAAAGTTTTAGGTATAATTTGTTTCACTGAATTTCAACAAACTTGCCAAACGATAATTGACAGTATTTATATTAAACAAATGCCGGGCCACTGACCTTCAAATCATTAGGCGACGAGCTGTCCAGTACTTTTTAACTATACAATCCAAATCATTTCGTACAGAACATTAACTGCATTTGCTTTTCCTAAAACATCGTCCTAAATATTGAAGGTATATCATACAATCTTCTTTTCTGAAAACATCGTCCTAAATATCGAATGCGTCTTTTATGCAATTAATCATTTGCTTTGATCAAATTAATGCCTGCTGTCATAGATTTGAGAGTTCATCAAAGAATAAATGCAACTTTCTTCCATAAAGCGGGGAGATAGCAATAGGCACACATTGCCCCCAAGCAGTATGGTATATAGGGAAGACTACTGCGGTAACAAAGGGTTGAGTTAGAATTCCGGAGAAAGCTTGGTTGTAACTGTCCGTCCCCTTCACAGGAGGCAATGGTGGCCGTCTGTTAGGTGCCTCCATAGGAAAAAGGCTACTACTTCTGGCCTTAGGAATGGCTAATGCTGAAAAGACAAGTGCCTGCTATTGGATTTAAAAAAAAACTGTAATAGACACTTTTGAAAGGTTGTGTAAAAGCATACGGGTTTGTACCAGGAAAGCGATCTAGTGGGTTCATACACATGATTTCTTGAGTGTCGTGAAAACATTGATGGTGAACCTAATAGTAATCGCCATTCTTAGTCTCCAAATAATGAAAACATGGAAAAAATTCGGCAGTTGTTGCTAAGAAATCGTCATTTGTCTCTTCGAATGATAATCGATGAGTTTACATCAGTAAAGACACCACACATAAAACTATAATGGAAGATCTTGTGGGGAGGATATTGTTCTTTTGTCCCTCAGTCATTCCCTCAAAATAGAAAAACAAGATTGAATTTCTGCATGCCATGATTTTATCCACATGGCAGACATCGATCCTGAGTTTTTCAAACAAACTATGAAAAGATGAAACTTTCTACTTGACTCTAAAACCTAAGTGATCCAAAAACGTTGATTTTTTTTTTTTTTTTTTTTTTTTTTTTTTTTTTTTTTTTTGAAAGAAATTTACAAGAAACTTGTTCCTGAGGAATAGACGATGAAATCCGTATTTTAGTAAAAAGAAGTAGATCTTGAGGCGAGTTCACACTAATGCGATCGCGCGTTGGATCGGAAAGCGGTAACCAATCAGAAACGAGTACAGAGGCGGTATTTTTCGGACAGCCGGACACTGCGTAAGTTTACTCAACTTTAACTTATTGCTGCTTGCCGCGTTAGTTTCATGTATCTCGTTTCAAATGTCCAGTTTTATCTTCCGCTGAAGTGCGACCTCTACCACCTCAGCACGCCATTTTGACGCACACATTCCTTTACAAAAATCTGCTTGTTTCAATCTCCTCTACCTATCTTTACATTTTTGCCAAATATTTTCTGAGTACCCTGCATAAGACACGTAAGGAAGCTTCTGGAGATTTTTCCATTCTGAGAATGGCAGTGTCTTGACTCGAGTGATTTTCAGTGTGGTTTAGTAATCAAAGCTCGCAAGATTGTTTATAGCATTTCGGAGATAGGTATACAAAGTTTTCATTTTCATGTATGACATTTTTAAGAGTGTCTTTTACTTCAAGATTTCCCGCAAAACTTTGAACTTGTGACCGCAGTGTGGTCGTAAAAAGACTGTGGATGAATGTGACCAGCATCAGCCGGCAAGAATTATTTCATGAGATAAACGTAGCACTGCCTCAAATAACAGTGCTATCCTCAAATAACAGTGGAATTCAATGCGAGTTCAATTCATAAGCATGAATATGTGGATTATGTAATATTCCCACCATGATGTAGCCTTTAGTTATGAAGAGAGTCAGTAGTTTAGTTATGAGTCATAGAGTTATGCACCTTGCTTGGGCTTGGAATTCTTGTCTAAACGCTTGATAGCTGGAAATAAACAGCCTGGTTTGATGCGTTTCGTACTGTTTCGAGCAGCTGAAAAGATCTATATGAAAAAGAAATGGTATGAAGCCACGAGTCCTACACAACAACGAGAGGCTGTGCAAGCAGGTTGTGGTGACTTCATAATAGCATGAGATTTATTTAGCTATCATTCATTAGAATTCCTGGCTACGTCTACAAACGTCTCTGACTAGCGAATGCTATGTGTCTATCTTTTCGTTGTAATAACTTAACCCATTCATATCTTGCATTCTTATGGGCTTTCGCCTCTGTGAAGGCAATGAGCTATCGTATACAGTTCTGGAGATGCCAAATTACGAGTATAGGAACCCTTATTAGAGTTTTGAAGTCTTAGCATGGCCACCTAAGTCATAAAATCTCAACATTATCAAGCGTGCATGGAAATACCGTGGAACACAGCAACACTGCGGAACAAAAAATCCAACGCCTCCGAATATATAATGTGGATTACGCTGCTGGAAATATTTATAGTGTTTGTTATCTACAGAATACTCCCGAGCACTCATGGAGTCCATGTCACGAAGCATTTCTACAGTTCTATCGGTATCGCCATGATTAATATCAATGGTAATGTCAGTTTAGCGACTTTGACGAAAAAGCGTATCTTATGTTTTTTCAGTGGTTAGAGGGATATTCCATGGGTATTCAGCGCATTTTCGATCTAGTCGTTGTAATACGGGGTTACGAATCCAAACGTCGACGGCTGGAGCATCTACAGGGGTAAAAGATGCCACCTTCTCTTCAGCTATGGGTATTTAAAGCGATGTAATAGCTGTAGTTAGGCGAAAAATACTGCTGTTAATAAAGATACTTCCGATAGTTTGCCTTGAGGGGTTCACAGAGCCATTTATTGGCGGAACCATTTATGAAAATTCATAATTGATTTTGAGATTAAAAATCAAATATATTTCAGCTCATTTTGTGTTTAAAATTTTACATAGGTCGTAAATACGGCAGACACAATGGAAATGCATTCTTACAAATTAACACTGTAAATAGTTTATGAAGCTAAAATCAAGAAAGTTCTGTCCTGTGACAGTTTTAATGGGTTGAGCAGGGAACCTATATGATTATTAGATAAATATGATATCAGGCCTCGCTTATGTGAGTGAATTCACTGGACTGCTCGAAACTGATGACGATCAAATTCGCTCAACAGTAATACCAAAACACACCTAATTCACTATAATCAGAGCCTTCTAAATTTTGCGTTTCGACAGTTTTAGATTTTATAGCTGATGTGAAATGGGGATAATATCTTCTGAAGAAACATCTGAGTTTTTTTTAGTTGAAATAATTGTCGCAATGTATTGAATGTTATTATTTACGATAGTGGAGTTCATAAGTAACCTATATTTATTAACTGACAGCAGAGTGATTAATTTAAATTAACATAAATATGTTACACAGGGTATTAAATATTGTAGCATTTCATAACTTCTGTAACTTAGTTTACTGCTGAATGGTTATTTTGATGTATGTTAAATATGTATTTAATTGTTCAGTACCGGTGGAAATTCCAGTAGGTGAAATGCAGGCTGGTTATACATTCGAATAAATTTCAATGATGGATAGTGAATGACTGAAGAACGTATTCAGTTATATCATATATTCAAATTATATTTAATTTAATCAGCCTTTTTTGTAGCATTAGTAAATGTAAAAAGATTCAATGTGAGTTCAGTTTGTAGACCGTAAAATATTTTTGAATGATATTAAGTCTCTTGCCGGTTCCTCAGCATTTGGTGTTTTCTGCTCATCATTAAAATACCCGCATTTTGATCAATGGAAAAGAATGGCATTCGAATAAAACTGGGTCGAGGAAACAAATAAATAAGCTATTGCACAGCATTATTGGACTATAAACCACAAATTCAGATTTACTGCGAAATCATCTAATAAACTTCGGAAGTCAGTAAATTAGGTTTCCTTTGAGGGTTTCTATATCCATAATTATCTCTTACGTCAGTCAATTGCTTAAATTCTAAAAGTTAAGCATTCTAATATGACTTTAAATGTTAAATGTTATCCCGATTTTCTGACACAGCTCTTGATACACATCTGTTCTTAATCTGTTTCTGTTTTTAATCCCTAGATGGTGCCATGGGCTTTGTTATTTGTCATGGCTTCTCTTTCCCTTCATTGTAGAGAGCGTTGTGAGTAGCTGTAAGCAGGTTCTCTAAAATTAATTTGTCTATTTTTTCTGTTTATGGTACTTATCTTTCATTTAATGTCAGTTGAAGAACTTGATAGTATTCAATCGTTGAAAGTGCGTCTGCTAAAATAAAATCTGCATTGATGTTTTTGCACTGTGATTTAGTATTTTAAGTACTACGGAACTTCAAATGAATAGATGGATATATCATTCTTTTGATAAAAATTTAATTGTGTTATGCAAAATTATCGCTATAATTCTTAAGTAAATAAATCTCTTTCTATGTCTGTCTGTTTTTTTAAGCTGCAAGTAAATAAATACTATTGCTGAATGGCTTGATATGCATATATATATTTATGGCTATCAACAAGCATGCTATTGTAATATTTGGTTGTCTTTCAGATTACAGAAGAATTAGATCAAGTTAAACAAGAAATGGAAGAAAGAGGCTCCAATATGACTGATGGAAGTAAGTTTTGTATAATATATATATATATATATATATATATATATATATATTATATTAAATTTAGGAGAAAAATTAGAATAAAATGAAAGGATTTCTAAGTGTTCCAGAAATCACTAAAAGCAAATTACAGTCTCTCTCTCTTTTTTTATTTTACTTATATATTTTCTCATGACAAAGTAAAGTAATATTTCTGAAATTTCCATACATTTCTTTTTATCAGGAAATGTCTTTGATTACTTTTGTCACTTTAATCAAGGTCAATGCTATTGTTTGCATACCTTTGCAGCACAAATTTTAAAGTGCTATAAGGGACTGGCCCTCTTATAAGCAGCGCAAGCAATCAGATAAATAAATAAAATAAAATTTATAAACTTGCTGTTGTTTATTCTTAAAAATTTCATTGCAGTATTAAAAACTGACTGATAGTTTAAATTGTTTCCTCAAATTCTGATTAAATTAGTAGTTAAACTTCTTTACTTTCAAAACTTAACTTTCCTAAAATTATGGCTGTTAAATGACATTTTTTCATCAGCTGTCCTCTCAGTTGAAAAATAAATATGATAAATATTCTAATTCGGAGAGGAAGGTAAAAAGAAATTAAAAAATATATAGGAATTGGAGACATGTCTTTTTTGTTGTTTTAAAAAACATAAATTAAGTTTAAAAAATTGTTACCTGTTAAATCGTCTGACTATTAATTTAAAAATATATCATCGGCAATTACAGTATTTTTTCTTTATGTTTGATATTTAAAAATTTAAATGCTATTTACTTTTCTATTTGTAGAACCTCTTGTTAACATCAGGAAAGCTTTATCAAAACTCAAGGTTGAATTGAGCCAAATGGATGTCAGAATTGGTGTTGCTTCACACACTCTTTTGCAAGCAAAACTGAAAGAAAAAGGGAATTTGCAGAGAGCTATCAACAACCAACCAACTTTGAATAGTTTTGCAACTATCTTTTAAGCCTCTTTTTTTTTTTTTTTTTTTTTTTTTTTTTTTACTGTTATTTATAATTACGTTCTTCTATCATGTTCATCCAACATTTTTAGAAGGATATACCTCTTCTAAAATCATCTTATATTGCGGTTAATATGCCAAAAATTTTCTTTTCTTTTATATTAGTATGTAATATAATTTTTTTAATAACGTATTTTAATTATTTTTCAGAAATTTCTTACATGAAAATTTCGTGAGAAATTTCTGTTGTTTTTATGTTACGTGTGTATAATGAGGAATCCAAAGCATTGGGTAACGTCTTTACTTAGTGACTAGTCAGTAATCAGTATAAACCAATTGCATTTTTTGTATCTGTAGGAGCTACACATGCTATATTTATATTATGAATGTAAATATTTAAATCATCCTATTAATAAATCTTTGAAGAATATTTCTTTTAAATTAAATGTTGGTTTTTGTCTTTTATTTAATTTTTATTTACTTGTTCGAAGTCAAGGAAGTATTGTAATTGCAAAAAAATTCGGATATCATAATTTCAACGAAAATATACATTTTGACTGCTATCGAATGCAATTTAAGGATGTTTTTGCGTGACATCTGTTCTTAAGGACAGAATAAAGGTCTCTTTTCCCCAAAACGGATTGCAAAATGGATTTTTTTTTTTTTTTTAAATTTTATTTTATTACTTTGCAGTTTTTGCGCAAGTATTAGGCAATTTATTACGATTTAGTAATATATTTACTTATATAGATATAAAATATAAAAAAATACGATGGCTTTGCTTTTTGCAAACATGCAACCTTTAATTAACTTTCTGCAATTCAGAATTTCCCCCCTAGAGCAGTACCTTCTTCTTCTTCTAGAATTTGCTAGCCTATTACGGAATAGAGGTAGGAAAGGGAGGAGGGGCCAACCCGCGCTAAAAGTGAAGCACTGCTTTGAAGCTTGGGTCACCAGATGGGGTATTCTTTGTTTACATTCAGAAGCTCGCTTGACAAGATCCTGATAGTATTTCGACACAGGACAGTTCCATAGAAATCGAAAAAGGGACACTTTCGCATGAAAGAAACATTCATAGTGTGATGGATAATAGCAATTTGTATAGTTTAGTGACATTTACGCAAAAATCACATCTTGGTTATTTTTCGATAACTAACAACAGTGATTTTGATTATGAATTTTTGTTTTATAAATTATAAAGCTGTTGCACCACAAAAAAATATACATTTTAAGATAAATGTTATGCTTAAAGAATGAAAAATACCTTACGGTACATTTAAAATTGTATACGTCTTTCGATACCCTTGATAGAGTATTCGCTACTTTTATTTTATTTTCCAAACGTCGAAATGTTTTAAATAAAACAAATTTTTTTCACATCCATATATTATTGTAACATGTACCTTTTAAAATTTTTTATTGGAGAGGCTTGACTGCTGCTCATTTTAAACCCATCGTTTTAATTTTATATATCTGAAAAATAATCACTTTGGGCTTACATGTTTTATAAATATAAAATTATGTATGTTAAAATATTTATAATTAGGCACATAGGTCAGATTACGTTTTTTTTTAAATAGAGTAACGCATGCAAGGGCTATCTGCCTAAAGAGAGAGATGCCATCGTGGAGGAATTTTGAAGAAAAACTGACCTTTGAGTGGGTATTAAAAGTAATACTTATAATTTTCATTCAAATTATATTCATATATATTTTTTATGTAAAACTTTCGGGTGTATGCTAAATTAGTGTAAATTACTTTACACAAAAAATATAGTGAATGCACAGAAATTAAAGATTTGCACATGCCGGAAATGAAAAATAGGAAATATGTATGAGTATTTATGCATGTGCTTGCAAAAAGCATGTATCTGCCTTTGTCAAAATACTTAAATATTCATTAAATTATTTATAAATGTATTTGAAATGAATTTATTCACTTATAAACAACTGTGAAAGTACTGTGAAGAAATCTAATTATTAAATGTATCTAATTTATAATGATTATAAATGTTATCTAAATATATAATAACCTTAATATTGAATTGTAAACATAAATTGAAATCCTGTTGACAAATACGTTATAAAACTATTTAAGCAAAAAATTGTTCGTATTGGAAAGCAATCTGTTAAAAGGTATTGTAAAGCAAATGCTATGAGATGCGCACTTAAGAACGTAATAAAGAGTTTTGGAATATGTATTGTTGAAATGAAATGTTAAAAAAAAAAAAAAAAAAAAAAAAAAAAAAAAATCTGATAAGTATAATTAAAAGATTATTCCCCTTACATTTTACAATAACTCTCAATTACAAGTTTTAAATAATACTTAAAAAAAAAAAAAAAAAAAAAAAAAAAAAACTTATTTTATTCCCTTTCACGAATGTTCAGAGAAAGTCAAGTACTATTTAATACCTATTTATTTATATTAGGAATTAGCGAAATACTTATTTAAAGTATTTCGCTAATTCCTAATAATTTTCTAATTTAAAATGAACCGAATAGAGCATTAATTATAAATTGACTTACATTTTTCGATTTAAAAGAAGCCAAAAAATCATGTCATATTTAAGAAAGTATTTTAGGAAGAAGCTCTATAAATAGAAAAGAAATAATGCATATTTTAATATTAATAATACAATAAACTTTGATCTTAATTTTTGTACCTTAACCGAATAAAATCGAATTTTTTTTCTAATGTAATTAACGAAAACTTGTGAAAATATTTCATTCAAATTAAACCATTCTGAGAAAACTGTCCTGTGAAAAGTATAGCATTTAATTCCGTTCAGAATGAAATGTTGTTTAAAAATGTGTTGTTTTCACATACTTAGGACTCTGAAGTGTTGTAGAAAAAGAAAATATATAGATTTATATGTATATTTACGACGTAATTACAAAATATTTACATCCGAACGCGTCAAATCTCATAGAACTCAATGGTAAATGACCCAATGTTTTGGTCACCACGTAGGGATCGCCGGTGCTTCAGAGCTGGTACGGGAGAAACTTGTTTAGGGGGACTCCATCTTACTTCCTACCTCCATGGCTATTATAAATAACGAATGCGCGCGATTTTGCGTCAGAAGCTTTCCTCTCTCTGTGCCTTTGGGGTCTAATTTAATAGGCCGTACAAGGAAGTCATGTGGTGTCCGCATCAGATTTTTTTTTTTTTTTTAAGAATTTGTACGTAATATGAGAATAATTAATTATAATTACTTCAAGTTAATATAGATTTTGCCATAATATTTTTAATAATAACTTACGGCATTTAGTTATAGATTGACAGGATTACAAACAGAAAAAATTTGGCATGCAAAAAATACCGTGTTAAAAATTATGAAACTCTGCTTAGAGAATAAAATCAAAAATACCCGTACAGTTGGGAATCCTCTTAGGACTCCGAATTGTGTTTCACAGGACTAGTCCTGTGAAAATTTGAAACTATAACGCTGATTTTTTGTTGTTTGACTTCTAAATTAATGTCTAATGAAAGGTTTTACATCATAGAATTTATCTGTGGCCTACGTTGTGTTCATCTAGAGTTTGGTCATCTTTCTTGTCTGTATGTGTCTGATGAATCCAGTAGGCCAAAATAGTCTGCCATGAATTGTTGATATTGCGCATCACATGTCGTTTCTTATTTCGTTGATAACTGGCTTCAGATCGGCTCTGGAGTTTTCTAAAACCTCAAACAAATAAGAGCAGCGATTCAACGTACTGGGAAAGTGAACTAGGTACGAACAGGGCTGAAATCTAATGCCATTCCTTAAGGTGGTGCCATGTGCTGGACCGTCCTGACGGGATTCGTTTTGTTGTAGTGATACCCCAGACAAAAGTGGAATTCATCCGAAAAAACGATGGCATGCCATTTATTTCTCTAGCAACGACATTCTAATTCCATTCAATCTATAGATGAATACCGAACAAACAAGACTGAATTATGGACAACCAATTAAATGTGTCTGATTTCGTATATCTTTGCTGAGATTCCATCACTTCACTCATTCCTCAATGATTCAAACTACTTTGAACAACGGCGTTATGCTCTGGTTCAATTTAGTTCAGTTTATGTATATATGCAGGCTGTTTCAAACAGACTAGTCGCTGCTTTAAGGCTTTATTTTGAAGAATGAATCAAAAAATCTGGTTGCGACAATTTTACTCGTATGACGCCTTTTAAAGAAAAGGGATCGAAGCTTAAATTTTCTCATAGGCCTCATTCTAAGTCAAAAAAGCATGAATACCTTATATGTAACATGAATTTTCTATTATACACAATCAATTTTTTATAAGAACCTTGGAACGGTATTTTCGCCGCTTCTGTTTATCCGATAAAAACAAATTTGAGTAATAAATTTGGGAGTTTCTTTATGCTCAATTTAACATATTACAGAACCTGTTTTATAAGCAAAAAATTATAAAGTATTTCTCCCGCCTTCTTAGCATGCCTTCATCGTGTAATGGTCAGCACACTCCGCGCGTATTCGAGAGGTTCGAGTCCCGGAGAGGGCATTACTCATTTTTTAATTTCTCCTGCTTCGAAATAACCTAATGCCTCTACAGTGGCGCCCGAACTAAAAAAGTTGGTGGATGATGATTCTCCACCATCAGGATTTGGGGACTGAATCTCCTAATCCCCAGTTCCCCTTTAAAAGTGGAAGTATAGAAGGTTCCCCAAAATTGCCTGAGCCGACAGTATTTCACGTCGACACGGGATTTCTCCCGCCTTCTTAGCATGCCTTCGTGGTGTAATGGTCAGCACACTCGGCACGTCTTCGAGAGTTCCCAGTTCGAGTCCTGGTGAGGACATTGCTCATTTTTTAGTCTCTCCTGCTTCAAAATAACCTAATAACTCTACAGGATTATTGATTGAAACTTAGTGCACCCAAACGTTTTAATTCAGTATATTTTTGCTAAAAGATATCACGTGACTAAAATTATCGCAGTTTGAACGCCACTTATTCATTTTTTAAATCGTAACCATAGAATTACGAATAACCTTTCATAAAATCTTTTTGGAAACACTCTTTATAGATACAGAATATAGTGCTTTACAGAATGTGTGCGTTGAATTGTAAACCATTTACATTGAAAGGTAATATGATTATTTTTAAACGTTTTAAGCAAATCTAAAGAACCATAGGTGAACAATTTCCAGTAAATTTTTATCAATATTTTGATATTAAAATTTTTTCATTGTTTCATTGACTGTAGTACAGTGTTTATGAATTATTTTTATTTTAACTTAAATAAATAATTAAAATTGGTGCAGGATGATGCATTAAAATTCATAATTTTAATGAAATAATATTTTATTTGCTAGAGAAACGTTTTATAACGTCATAAAAATAGTGGATCGGATGACTAAAACGAATGTTTGCTTTTAGCTTAATTTCAGATTTAAAAATTTTCTAATTTATTCTAATTCGTATCAAATATGCAGAGCT